TTTTTTTTTTTTTTTTTGAGGGAGAGTCTCACTCTTGTCACCCTGCGTAGAGTGCCGTGGCATCACAGCTCGCAGGAACCTCAAACTCACGGGCTCAAGCAATCTCTTACCTCAGCCTCCTAAGCTGTTGGGACTACAGGCACCCACCAGAACCCTGGGATAATTCTTCTACTTTTAGTAGAGACTGGGTCTTGCTCTTGCTCAGGCTGGTCTCAAACTGCTGAGCTCAAGGAATCCTTGGCCTCCCAGAGTGCTAGGATAACAGGGGTGAGCCACCACAGACAACTTATGCATTAAACTTTTGAGTAGAAAGTCCAGAGAGTTTGCATGTACCTCTCCTTGCTCCTCACCCTACCCCTAAATTTCCTTTTTTGTTAACATTTTGCATTAGGTGGGCTAGCGTCAGTGACTGGCACTTGTAATCCAAGCACTCTGGGAGGCCAAGGCAGGTGGATTGCTTGAGCATCAGGAGTTCAAGACCAGCCTGAACAAGAGCGTGACCCTATCTCTACTAAAAATAGGAAAACTAGCCAGGCACCTATAGTCCCCAATACTCAGGAAGCTGAGGCAAGAGAATCATTTGAGCCCAAAGGTTTGAGATTGCCATGAGCTGTGACGCCAATGCACTTTATCCAGGGTGACAGAGTAAAATATATATATATATATATATATTGCATTAGCGTGGCACATTTGTTACAACTGATGAAGCAATGTTGATACATTATTATTAAGGGAAGCCCATAGTTTACATTAAGGTACACTTTTTCCGTTACACAGTTCAGTGGATTCAATGGGTTTCTGACAAATCATAAGAACATGTCCACATGTTTCACTGCCCTGAAAAGCTCTGGTTCCATACCTATTCACTCCTCCCTCTTTCTCCACTTAATTTCTGGCATCGATGATCTTTTTGCTGTCAATATAGTCTTCCTGGCTCAGCGCCTGTGGCTCAAGCAGCTAAGGTGCCAGCCACATACACCTGAGCTAGTGGGTTCGAATCCACCCCGGGCCCACCAAACAACAATGACAGCTGCAACCAAAAAAAAAAAAAGCTTGAGGCTCTGTCTCAAGAAAAAAATATACATATAGTCTTCCCTTCTGTTTTTAACATTTTTTTTCCTGTTTCCCTCTTTGCCAAATAAGCCAGTTGCCTGATTCAACTTCTTTTGAGAGAGACAAGGTCTCCGTTGCTCAGGCTAGAGTCTATGGCATCATCAGCTCACAGCAACTTCAAGTGCTTGGACTTAAGCAATCCTCCTGCCTCAGCCTCCCAAGTAACTGGAACTATAGGCACCCACCTCATTGCCCAGCTAGTTTTCCTTTTTTTTTGGAGAGTCTCACTTTGTCACCCTTGGTAGATTGCTGCAGCATCATAGCTCATAGCAGCCTCAAACTCTTGGGCTAAAGTGATTTTCTTGCCTCCAGCATCCCCAGTAGCTGGAACTACAGGCGCCTGCCACAACACCTGGCTATTTTAGAGACAAGATCTCACACTTGCTCAGGCTGGTCTTGAACCTGTGAGCTCAGGCAATACACCCTCCTCAGTCTCCCCAAGTACTAGAATTACAGGAGTGAGCCACCACAACAGGCCCCTACTTTTCATATTTTTAGTACAGATGGGGTCTTGCTTTTGCTCAGGTTGGTCTTAAACTCCTGAGCTCAAGCAATCCTCCAGCCTCAGCCTCCCAGAGTTTGGGGATCACAGGTATGAGCCACTGTGCTTGGCTAAGCAGGGACTTGCAACATTGCCCAAACTGGTCTGAAGCCTCAAGTGATCCTCCAGATTGGCCTTCCAAAGTGTGGGGTCACTGGCATGAGCCACCACGTCCGACCTATCATTAACTTTAGAGGCTTGATAGTATGTTTTATTGTCTTTCTTCCCTGGTCTTTTAAAGTCAGCTTTCCAACTATTCTCCTGTATTGATGTTTCTGAGTAAACGTTCTTTTTCTTTCTTTCTTTTATTCGTTTATTTTCTGGGTTTTTTTTTTGTTGTTGTTGTTGTTTATTTGTTTTAAGAAGCAGGGGTCTGGCCAGATGCGGTGGCTCGGCTTGTAATCCTGGCACGTGGGATGCCGAGGTGGGTGGATTGCCTGAGCTCACAGGTTCGAGACCAGCCTGAGCCAGAGCAAGACCTCATCTCTAAAAATAGCTGG